TCTTCAATGAGGCAAAGGAAAAAAATGAGAATAATGAAGAGTATACTTTGAAGAAATGCGAAGGCAGTCAAGCCAGTCAAGTTGTAAACCAAATAGCTGTCTTTGAAGCATTTTTTTTACAGTACTCGAGGAATGATGGTTATACGTCTATTTCTTTTGCAGATATGCAGCTACAGGCTCCTGCAACATATTTGTCTTCATTATCACCTGGATTTTCTTGGATACGAGTGACGTCAGCACCGATTCAAACCAACTGGGGACCGCAGATGCAACTGCTTTTACGGTAAATTGTCTTGGAAAACTCTCTCTAATTCATGCTTAGGCGCCTGGTAAATAAAAGATAGATAGATAGATAGATAGATAGATAGATAGATAGATAGATAGTTTATTACCAAATAAATTACATTGCAGCCATAGGCTGAATTGCGTGCTTTTCACAATCTTTGATTATATAAGACTATATAAGACAACCAATTACAAAAATGCAAAGACCTAATTAAAATTACTAATATAACAACTATAACTAATATACCGCAGTGGAATAGCTAAAAATCTAGGTTAGCACACGCGCACATAGCCGGGATAAATGAAGATTTAAAACGATCAGTGCGAAAGCGCGGCATGTTAAAAACGCGCCGGTGTCTAGTATTGTAAGCTGAAAGATGCCTATCTGGCAGCAAATTATATAATTTGTGAGATGGATTTGAGACAGACAAAAAACAGATCCTTACATAATTTCATGCGTCTGTCATAGAGCGAAGCTAAACCGTGCCTTTCTAAAGAGTCATGGTATGACAGTTCTGGTGAAATGATAGATAATGCGCGTCTTTGGACCCTTTCAATGTCATCACTAAGATACGCAGGTAACGCATGATGGGTGTGAAGCATTCATGACCCCTTTGGATTCATGTGTTTTTTTCTTTGTCTCCAGTTTTTTTCCAGCACAGTTTCGTGATGTCCTTATCAAACTCTTGTAATGTTTTCTTGTGCCCGTTCCGTTCCCCGTAATATTTCTTCGGGTGTCTATGTCCCTAACAACTTTGTGGTACTCATTTACCCCCTTGGATGAAAATGGGGTACTGCCTGGCCCAAGAATATATCACAAATGATACTGAACACGCCTCGAACCCGATGCGCCGACCATTATGCAACTGCATGGTTTCCTATACTTAGATAACCGCCAGTACATTCTATTTAGACCAGCAATCTGTTAAATTTAGGTTTAGCATTGGTCGGAAATCTGAATTATCCCGGCATCGATCCATATCTTGTTGCTAATCTGCAAATCGTTGTGTCGCCATTTTTAAGTACGTATCTGTAAAACATGGACTAGACATAGTCTATTTACTTTTTAAGTTTAGATAGGTGTTAACCTGCTTTTCACGCGTTTGGTCATTAAGTGTTTTTTTTTTCTCATATGTTTTACGCCTTTTTTTAGTATGTGGTGTTAATAGTTGTCGGCACCGGGGTTTTCTTCACGGTTGTCTTTCATCTCGGAGTGAAAGAACCTTCGCGTGACTGTAGCGCTGAATTCGCAACCCAGTCCAGCAAACGGTCGGCTGCTAACTGGAGAGCCTGGTTCCGAGAGCCACTGTTTTATCAGGTGAGGAAGCCTGTGTCAGTTAGTTAAGTTAGAAGAGACGAACGAAACAGCGGGCGCGTGAAAAATGGCGGGGGCCTGGCGGCCGTTCCCCTAACAACCACAACCACCGTTTGTTGCTGGCCCACTCTCTCGTTCGTTTCCACTGACTGAGAGCCAGGAGAGAGAGCCTCGCTGAGTTATTGATATTTTTACTTGTACCGATCACTCTTTGAACTCAGAGAGCTTGGGTTTCAATATACGACAGAAAAACAATGAACTTTTTTCGATGGTTTATACAGAAAGCAGTCGATTACTTTGTTATTCTGTTAGTTCGAATTGCTTCGTAAAATCTCAGTACTGGGGAAAATTTGTTTTGTGTCAACTCAAGAGGGTTTACCTTTTTCAAGAGCCCTTATCTTCTCATTGAGGACGTGGAACTTTTTATGCCTCTTCGTGCCTTACACCTTTAGCTTCTCTCTCGCCTCATTCCCAGTCCTAGTTACCGCAACGCATTCCACCACAATGGGTGTTCGAATTATCAAGGAAAGCAATTTTTTTTGTAGGTTGGAGTGTTGTACATGTGTGTCCGTGTTATCATCAATGTCACGCAGTGCTATATTCCGATGTACACCTTGGAGACGCTCAATTTATCCAAGGTGGGTACGAATCCTTTTGGTCATCATGATACAGACTCGTATGGGTGGTCATAGAACCAGGCCCCAGCTTTCTATTGCTGGAATCTTTCCGTTTGGATCGGCGAGTAAGAATTTTCCACTTGATCGCTTTGTTACTCATTGAGATTTTGAAACTGCCTTCTAACGTTCAATTCAGACATTACTCCACGACATCCAAAAGAACGGCTTGAACGGCTGGAACGGCTGCGTATAAGATTAGCCTGTCAGTCCAAGTCTTGGTTAGTAGAGCCACAATGGCGAACATCATAGCAAACTTTGTCTATTGTTATGGTTTGATTCGTTTCAGGCCAATATCCCTATTGTTCGTTATCCTCCGGGACCTTTCCACCGTATGGTTTACATCGCGCTCGGCACATGTCGAGATTTGGCGAGAATTTTTCGGTGAAACATCTTTTGCCGAGGGGTAGTATCCTTGGGTATTTATGAGTTGAAGTAAAACATCGGGGTGGGGGAAGGGAGAGGCGATTGATTGCCACTAACGTCTCCTTACTTACAGGAGACTTGGAAACAGAAATCCCATCCAACTCGCTCAGTCATGTTTAAAACGAATTCAACTCAGATTTCCATTTTCTTTTACTTGTCCACTAGCGAACCATTGCTATCATGCCATTAGTTGTGTATATGAGTGGACTGGTATCTACAATTTTTACCAAACCGCTGAACAAGTGCCTCGGTAGAAAGGTCAGTATATGTTTTAAAGTTGTCAGATCTTGGGGCGCTATTCATTTCAGTTCTCAGACCGAAGAAAAGCAGCTGCATGGTTCTACATCATGGTGATATAAATGGATAGCGAAATACCACTCCCTCTATCATAGCTATTAAAGCCTGGTCGTTCTTCTCTCTCAAGTGTATTCAATGCCCAATGGGTTTTTAAGTGATTGTGCTATCACCCGTCTTATATGGTAAGATGAACTCTTAATTTCGCAAAGGAGCGAGAAAACTAACTTGCCATACTCGAAGGACACGAAAAAGTGATTTCAGTTTTCAGAACGAGTCCATTCTATTTACATACCGAACATTTCAACGGGTTAGACCTGTGGAATGGAAATTGAGCTTAGACTCACACCGCAATTGACTGACAAACATTTCCATTCATCGGCTAGATATCGCTTCTTACAAAAAAATATTTATTACTAAATATTGAAATTTTTTTCTCCGTATAGACAGTTTTCCTTGGTGGCCTTTTCATGATACTAGGAACAAGGTAAGTTACGTTAACGTAGTTCTCTGTTCCAATCATTTACTGGGAAATAGTTTAGGTTCAAGTTTAATTTCGTGCAACCTTTGCTGTGCCACCTTTTTCTGTCTGTCTCGACTATTTTACCGTTGGTTAATCGAGAATGAAGTCTATGAAAATGTATCGCTAATTTCATTGGCAGTACTTGAGTATTCAGGGTACCTAGCACGCTTATCAGTTGTGTTTGGGTGCGTACAAACAAAAGCGGCTATGCATTTAGAAACTAAGGTGGAGCACTCATAGTACTCTAAGAGAACTCGAATTTTCTTAAATGGCTTCTATTTAACTTGTTGGCACGAACTAACCTCCCGAAAGTATACGCAAAGCTGATGATCGATAGAAGGTTGTTGTTCACTGAAAAAGTCTTACAGCATATGGTTTGATTTCCTCTGTGATTGTTGGTTTTTTTTTTTTTTTTTTTTTTTTTTTTTTTTTTTTTTTTTTTTTTTTTTTTACAATGTAATGTGGACCTGGGTCCAATTTCTACACACAAAAATAAAACGAGAGATGTAATCACAGCAACGCTGTTTGGGTACGTTTGGAGATCTAAACGTCACCTAATAGTGGACTACCCATGGTTGTTTTATACGCGTCCAACAAAGGGATGATTGTCTAAGGGCACAGCGGTGTTTTGAAACGCGCGGGTGATAAAACGTGTGCGTGGTGAAACATGTACGTGATAAAACTTGTGCGAGGTTTCTTAACGTATTTTTGTGAAGCAGCTATTACTTCTCGTCGTTGGTAAAGTAATGAGTCTATTTTATTTACTTTGTTTGCTGCTTCAAATCTTGTTTCTTTTCAGTGTTTGGTTTTGGCTTATTCCTCCGCACAGCAAACAGATGTACTTTGCTAGTGTAGCGTTAGGATATGGAAGTTCGACAATGCTAGTAACGGTCTTAACAATGCTGGCTGATCTAATAGGAACCAACATTGTAAGAACTACTGATGTGAAGTTTAACCTCAGCCCTAAGCCGAGCGTGTGTTTGCCGCTTTCTAGAAAGGCCAAATACGCGAGCCTTTGATTGTTTGTGAAGCAGCTTCCGTCACTGTGAAGAGATAATAATGGGATATTATTCAGTTCTCTTACTTCTGTGTTGTTGTCATCGTAAAGTATGCTTCCAAAGTGTAATCTCTCACCGTGATGAGACTATTTCTGCTTTATCTTTTAATATTCCGCCCACCGCTTTGCCGTTTCTCGGTTCACCAATGCGAAATTATCGAGATAACGATTCCTTTTTTTGTTTGTTTTACAGGAAACTGGAGCTTTCGTATATGGAGGGATGAGCTTTTTAGACAAGATGTCTAATGGCATTATTATACAGATCATTCAATTACTTTATCCCAAAAATAGTGACAACGGGTAAGTTGCTCTCTGGAAGGCAAAAGGTGCTCCAGATATCACGTATTTTTTCATGTAATTTCCAACACTAAAAGTGCATGTGGACCTATGATACCAAGTGTGTTTTTATATTCCAAAGAGAGGCTAATCTTTCGGGAAATGCCCTCAAATGTTCAAAACATTGTTAACGGGAAGATTAAATTTTATGACTTGCTGATTAAACTAGCCACCTACCGTTTCTGTAACAAAATTTCTTTGCTTTTTTCCCATCCTTCGCCTATTTGTTTAACCCATTAAGAGCGACACAAAAAGGCATTCCTGACTGAAATGGTGATTTTTTTTTTTTGCAATATCTAGAGTAGCAGCCGTCTTAAAGAGCGCGTAATGTTTAATTAATATGAGGTATTTAGTTCTTATTAACCGAGCGGGAGGTCTGTATGGGCCGGAGAATCTTGAACGAGGTCGCCAGTACAGACCGAACGCAGTGAGGTCTGTACCAGCGATTGAGGTCAAGATTCTCCCATACAGACCGACCTAGCTCGGTGAATAAGATGTTTATTATATGGCTGTGTATTATATGCCAATTTTTTATATTCTTTGTACCTTTTTTTCTAGACCGGTCTGGATGCTGGTCTAGATGGGAAAATCTAGACCGCTTTCAATATTGATTTCAGCCAATCAAATTCGTGAACTCGGTAGTTCCCAGTCCTTGTGAGACATAGGCATATAATGACATTACTTATAACCTGCAGGTCCAGTGCTGGCGGTCTGTATTACAGAGAGGTCATGGTATTCGCCTCTGGAGTAGCAGCGGTTATCGCTCTTTTGGCTCTCGCCACAGTCGCGAAGAAGAACTTAAAAGCTAACCAAGGTATGGCACGGATAAAACCTTTTTCATCGTTTTGGGATAGCCTGTCCACAATTGTTTTTTTTAATTATATATGGGAGGAAGCGCGGAGTGAGCGCGCTGTAACAGGCGTGGAGCGTTTAAGTGACTGAGTTTATCAAATCCCTCGCGAATCCCGGTTGTTTCACTTACCGTCGTTCTGTACAAAGATCCGGGGGGGGAGAAAACAACTGGTGTTCTGTAGACCGACTAGTTTCGGAATTGTATCCCAAGCAAAGTAAGGTATTGTTAATTTTTGGCCGGCTTAAAATACGAATTTAACATGATCGTTTGCGAACTGAAGAAGATAATAAAAGCACGTGTTGTATAAGTAAGTGCTCGAATTCTATCTCAGTTATGCGCGACTAGGGGTTGTTTTCGTGATTCTTGTTCGGAATCGCAAGTTTTTAGCAATTACAAGAACACGTGTATGGTGGCCGTTATTCCTCATGGTTATTCAGATGAATAAGCGTCTAATTCGTTGTCTCACGATTAATTTTCACGAAAAATCGCTGATCGTGAGGTGAATAGTCAGTAGATCTTTACAGTGAAATAACAAGGAGGGATATCGGTTTGACAAACGGCAGGTCTTTCTTCCCTTGAGATGTGACTGACGGTTTGGCGTTTTAGGTTCGGTCGCGAATTTCAGGGTTACAGCTGTGTTGTTTATCTATACTTTTTCTGAATTCTATGAGGCCTGGACTTGAGGTTGATTCTGTACGTGTTTCATCTCTTCGACAACTGAGTCGAATACTGAGTATTGTTCCCCGAACAGTGATTTTTGACAGCCGTTTTACTTTCTCGCCTACATCATTTTCTCATGTTTTGATTCCTAGAACCACATGGAGCCACAGCCAATACATGGTTACAATCTGGTTCGTGGTCTTTAATCTGCTCTAAAGGTCCATTTGTTACTCCTTATGAATCTCCAGCTCAACTGGCTCTGAGCACAGCAGCGACTAGGGATGCCTCAGAGTCTATAGCTTTGTATGGCTCTATGGAGTTATAAGGTAGTGGTCGAAGATCGAGCTAAGGACATTTTCAGTCTACACCGTAGAGATCAAATGTTACAGTTTCCAACTATATTAAAGTTAACTCTGTTAACCGAAAGGCTAGTCATTTTCCGTGCTGTAAAAGGAACCTCCAAAGACTGGTACACTGTACTGTGCTTATGAGAACAATTCGTATCAAATGCATTCGTCAGTAAAGAAACTAATTTACCTTTCTCAATTTCCTTGTCCCTCGGAATGGTGGGCAGGCTCTTATTGTCGTTGCTTCACGAGCATCTCGCGAGTTTCTCGCGGAGACTCGCATGAGGCTAACTCAATCTTCACGGATCTTGCGAGAAGCCCGCGAGATGTTCGTGCAAAAGGGCCAACATTCGTAGCCGTTAGAAGCTTTTTGCATGACAACCAAAAGAAAGGCCGCGACGGAGACTAGATATCTTGGAATGATCATTATGTGTTGGATTGTCCAATATCCCATGAGTTTTAAACCCGTTTACTACCATGCGGGACTGAATCATGCCTACTAGAGTCTACGAGAGGGATATGCGACTTGTTCGATCAGCTCATGTCCTCTGTTGAATTCTCTTTTCTAATAGGTTCGTTATGAGTTCTCTACTATAAATAAATCATGATTAATCGATAATTTTTGTAATGAGATACATTTCTTTCCCAACAACATCAGGAGATCTAGTGTTCGGCGGAAGCCATGACGGCCAGTGTTTTCACCGGCTTCTTGTTTCTCATGCGCTTGCCTCTTAAAAGAGGCAAAGCAGTTTAAGACTAGTCTTGATCTGAAATCAATTTCTATCTTTGCCGACTCCTGCTTTTTGATGGCTGGCTCAAAAAGTAAAATCTCTGGAGAACGCTGAACACGGTGACATGGTTGTTCTCAAAGTTGACACAAGTCAGGTGAGTAAGTGACGTCAATCCACAAATGGGCCGATCGTTTCGGAAAATTTTCCTGCGTGGTGTGATGAGAGATTCTTATTGTTGTCTACCAAACTTGCATTACTATCAAAGGGAGGAAAAGGATTTATCCGTAGCCTCGTGATTATCTCATGATTGGTAATTAAAACTTTCTGAAAGTGGTAAACATTTAAGAACAATGATTTGTTTGTGACCCAATGCCCTTAGTGGATTGCATGATCTAATGTTCTGTAATTGTATTGTGCGGAAAAAACACCACAGGTAGCTGGGTTATTCTCTTAATTAGCCGTATTTCATATTTCCAAAATGCAAGCCGACACAAAAATAGATGAGAAGAGTCTGGTCAACTGCTTTACTTGTCAGTTTCACGTAAACCTTGATCATAAAGTTGAGAACACGCGCCCGCAAAATCCCTTCCCACCCCCTGTGGAGTTGGGTTTTGTTTTTTGTTTATCCCATGACAAGGCACGTGACTTTCTCATGATGTCTATAAAAATTTACAAATAGCGGATTTGTTGATGAAGTTGAAATGAGTGCGAATCGTTAGCTGAATGAACTTATTGTGGCTGACTTGACAATCTTAAATCAAGATTTAAGATTTAATTTAGTCAGCAGAGAGATAAGTTATTCCTTGCCATCGACAAAATTTTCGTGACGGGAAGTCGATTTCGGTAGGATCGCAGTAGTAAGTAATCTTCCTCGTCGCTTTTCAATCAAAGTTGTCGTTCGTCATCCACTGACAGTGACTTAAACATGGCTCGATGTATCGAAGGAACGATGAAAATGACCTGGAGAACTAGAATATGCTACGGGGTCGGTCATGTTCTCAATGACCTCTGCGCTTCAATGTGGTTCACCTATCTTCTGCTCTACCTTCATAAGGTTGCTCAATTTTCAAATGTGGCTTCGGGAACTTTACTTTTGATCGGTCAAGTCGCTGATGCTCTTTCCACGCCGTTTGTTGGTGTGGAATCTGATAAAACCGGAGATTGTAGATACGGTCGTAGAAAAGTCTGGCATCTCGTTGGAGTTGTGTGTGTTGCTTCTTCGTTTCCTTTCATTTTCAACCTCTGTATTGGTTGTGAAAATGCATCAACTTGGGCCTTGTTTGTGTACTATGTTCCGTTTATTGTGATATTCCAGTTCGGCTGGGCATCAACGCAAATTTCTCATTTAAGCTTGATTCCAGAACTGACGGACTGCGAAAATGAAAAAGTCACTTTAAATGCTATCAGGTAAGCTCAAGTTTACGTAGCGTTTGCCTTGGACAAATGCAACGTACTTCTATTAATGGCACATTTAAAATGCCAAGCAGCCTTTTCCTTTTTGCTTCTCTTTTTGTTCATTTTAAATTTTCTTAAGTTTGAGTTATTTTTGTATCACGGGATGTGACGCGATTTCACAATATATAGGTCTACATTTTTCATTGCAAGAAATTAACTGAGGTAAGGCGGCCTTATCTGACAGCCTCTTGTCAACCTGGAAGTGACCAGTTACATTGTAGGCCAGAAGTAGGATGCAAGTATGCACACACAAACACACACACAAGTACACTGGGAAAAGTTTTTTCGCCTTAAGTCTAACAGGAAGTCAGAACCAACTTGAACTGGGAAGTCAGAGTTTGAATTTTATATTTTTTTAATTTAAGACAGGAATTTAATACCTTTTCAGATAATTAAATGTACAGGACCAACAATTAAATAATTAGGTTGTTCAAAATTTCTCGTTTTCGTTTTCACAGATATGCTGCGACAGTTTCATCAAACATTTTTGTCTTTTTGGTGACATGGGTTCTTATAAGTACAGAAGGAAAAGGCTCAGACAAACTTTCTCCTTCAGACTCGACAGCTTTTATGGTCAGTAATATAATTTTTGTGATTCTTAAGATCTTGCAGCTAACTATAAGTTTTGGTGTATTTTAATAGTAGTTAGTGTAAGTGTATGAAAAAATGGTCAGAAATTTAACTCTTGACACATGAGTTTGTCTTTTCTGCTAGCCAGAGGCAAGGAAAACTTAGTAATCACTTCTGAGTGAGCCAATCACCTTTTACAAAAAGCACTTTACTATACCTAGATATCTGAGGTGATAATAAGCCCAGCCTGGATCTCATAGTTGAGATTAACTCTCTGCAATTAAGTAGTTTTATTTTTTGGTGAATAAAGACATTATTATTATTATTATTATTATTATTATTATTATTATTGTTATATCGACGAAATGTTTACAATTTCAACTTGGTCTCCTTCGCCGTCGTTCCGTATGGGATGTCAC